TATGGACAACTCATCAGTGCTAAGACTGATATGTTTTGTTTAAAGTTCTAAAACTATACACGTATATGACTGGCTCGTATGGCCGTCCCACTGCTGAGTTATGTATTAGACTACTATAAACGATATGATATTTTGTTATAAAAACGTTAAGTTCAGATTCAAAATCAGTTCATATATCCCCATAAGTCATATTTACCAGAAGAATGAAATTTTGTAACACATCAACCTTCTCATCACTGCTGATTTTTTACTGCTGATTGTTCATTACGATATAAAATGAACGAAAATAGAAACGTGCACACCCCCTCCTCTTTACTGTTATGCTGTATCATGCATTAATTTAAAGAGAGAACATGATTTACGTATACGATCTATCAGACCTCTGAAACTTCATCTGATAATAAAATGTAGTATTTAGTATCTTTATTTTGTGGCAAACATATTAAACCAGAGCATATAATGAGCCCGAGCCAAAAAGGGCCAATTTCCTCGTCTTTATGTTTTACATAGCTCTTCATAATTGTTCGCAATAAACACCTAATCGCTGCATGCATATGTGACCGTTGATACAAATGATATTTTGTAATGTTCGTGTTTGAACAGGTATATTCTTTCATATTTTGCTTTTGCACGAGAAATGCGTAATACAAAAACAAAAAGCAACTTATTTTTTGTTAACTTCTTGTCAAATTTGGGTATTTAGTTACTTTGTCACTTTTCCTTAAGAACCACCATTCAATTCATCTTTAAAAACAGATACACAAGTTGAACTGAAGTCTGTGTCATTATTCAAAAGCATCATTTTGTTTTGGTGTCTTCACTTTCGCTAATGATTTTTCTCGTCGGCATGGCCAATAGCATTGGTTTAGATATTGCTTGATAACGAAAAAAATCGAGGGAGTATACTAAAATCATTTCGTGGTTTAATTACATACTATATATATGATTCTTTTAATCAGGTTTTGGTAAAAATATAATTTTATCATTTTTTCACTTTACCTCATTCTGAATTTTTCATGTTTTGGCGTCTTCAGTGTGGAGTGAGTGAAGGTATGGCCCTAGAAAATCAAAGACAAACAAGGGTGACATCTATTATGTCAGCACTTTTCAGCTATTTAGAAACTATACTATTGAATAAATGTGATCTAATGTTGCGATACACTCTCTTGAACCTACATATACAACAAAGATCTCAACGTTTTGAATGTTTCATCTGTTTGACCTTTTCATCGTCAATCTGATTTAAAGTTACTGATGGCCCCGTGTATAAACGTTTCTTATGTGTCCGCAAGCCACGCTTGCCTTCTACTTGCTGTTCAATGTATTAGCAATGGCACAATTGATCTCAATTTGCCGAAAGGTTCCTAGTCTAATAGGTCATCTCGTTTGACGTAGGTTATCACACGATCTGATTACAGAACGGTATTGTCGCCATCGAATTTTGAAATGATTCAAAATTCTAAAATTACTTTCCCGTCCGAGAACGTTCATGAAGTTCGTTATTAGACCTTAGAAAGTTGCAACTATGTTCATTCCGTTTTCACACTGTTTAAAACCAGTTCGGTAACGTTTTGAAGAACGCAGTGGCAACTAGTTTGGTGTGATAGCTATATTATTGCTAACTTGTTCATATATTAAGTAGTTTTTAATACGTTCTTAATCAGTTCAAATCCGTTTGTAATTAGTTCTACCTCGTTCTCAATACGTCCTCACAGTTCAACTCCGATGCTGTTACGTCCCTATTAGGATTGACGTACGACAGTTCCGTCCAGCTCGTCGGTAGTACGTTGTCACTTGTTCTAATTGCAGAACGTGACTACCACCAGAAAATTTTGAGCGTTTTCTAACTTCTGGAGGACCTCAATAGCTAGGTTCGTACACAGTTTAAGCTCTTTTTTCGAGAACGTAGTGAGAACTACTTTTGTGTGATAGTAGGGTTAAGCTCTTTTTTCGAGAAAGTAGTGAGAACTAGTTTGGTGTGATAGGGGGTTAGGGTTTGTTTCCTATAAAGACCGGTGTAATTCTAATCTTCCCTTTCTGAGTTGTAACACCTTTTGTAATTGCCACTCTACTGGACTACTTATTCGAATCCCGGTGAAAAATAAATTATGGTCCCCTGGGGATTACGGTCCCCTTACTGGCCCTGATTGTGGATACGATAATAAGGGAAAGAGTTGTATTTACCCCCCTATCACACCAAACTAGTTCTTACCCGTTCTTGCCAGTCCTACGAAAATGTCGTAAAACGGGCTCAATCTGGCTGTGGTCGGGAAATATGTCTGAAATAATTAGCTTCTTCGTTCTTAAACAGTCTTCAATACGTCCATCTCGTTCGCAGTTCGTTCAGGTCGCACCACGTCGGTGTGCAACGTCGTAGAACGCGTCCCTTAGTCCAGAAGGTCAACATGACCTGATTACAGAACGGTATGGTCGCCATCGAATTTTGAATCGATTCAAAATTCTAAAATCACATTCCCGTCTGAGAACGTTCATGAAGTTCGTAAATAGACCTTAGAAAGTTGCAGTTACGTTCATTCCGTTCGCACACAGTTTAAAACCAGTTTTGAAGAACGCAGTGGCAACTTGTTTGGTGTGATAGCTATATTTTTGCTAACTCGTTCTTAATCAGTTTAAACCTGTTTGCAATTAGTTCTACCTCGTTCTCAACACGTCCATAGACAGTTCAACTCGTTGTTAAAACGTCCCTAGTAGGACTGAAGTACGACGGTTCCGTTCGTAGTACGTCCAGCTCGTCGTTAGTACGTTGTCACTCGTTCTAATTGTAGAACGTGACGACCCCGAGAACATTTTGAGCATTGTCTAAGTTCTAGAGGACCTATCCGTTCGAGTACGTTCGATGAAGTTTGTAAATAGATCCCTAACGGTTCTTAGTAGGTCCAGTCCGTTCGTACACAGTTGAAGCCCGTTTTCGAGAACGTAGTGAGAACTAGTTTGGTGTGATAGTAGGGTTAGGTCACCATATATATCAATGGAAAGTAGGACCATAATTTGATAGGACCTCCTATACTTTTACACCTGGTTCTGGTTCAAAATAAACGAAATATGGCAACAATCAGGTACATTCACATCGGGTTTAATTAATGCATCTTAAATTGTAAAAAAAACTGTGGAGAAGAAGGTTCAGCTGATACTGTTAACTCAATACATGATACATGTATCTCTGTTTTAATGTTGGAGGTCGTTTCTATTTCACTGGCTTTGCTTTTCAATGTTCTGATTGAATTATTCCCCTGGCAACTGTACTTACATTTTGAGGGGATGGGTCCAGATTTATGAAACGTTCTGTTTATCTTCAAAAACCTGCTTAATGTTTCAAAATGTTTCTATGTCGAGTGTTATACCGTATATTTATGTCCCCACCACATAGTGTGGGGCCATATTGTCGGCCTAGGCGCGTCCGTCCGTCTGGTTGTCTGTCTGTCCGTCCGTACGTCCGGTAGTTTTCTCCAAACCCGCTACAGATATCACCTTCAAATTTTCAGGGATAACTTATGAGTGCATACAGATGTGGACGAAAGATTTTTAGCTCGATACTTACTTCCTGTCGGCCATCAAATGCTAAAATCCTTGTCTGCAAACTTTAAGAAAAACGGCTTCACGCTTGCTTTTAAAACTTTAATATCTTGTTCAGCTTACTTCATTCTACATCTGAATAGGTTTTGGACCTGTTAGCTCAGTCATGTCACTGATGTCAGCCATTTTTAATGTCTCGAGAAAAGTTAGCGCGTGATAATACTTTGTTTCTGCATATTGAACGGTGTTTTTGAGTTTTCATACTTTAGTAGCTTTATAAATAATTTTAGGTGTACTTTCTTGTAAAAGCCAAGTATGTTATTGTTAACAGTGGTTATATGTGACAATTTTGTAAAAGGAAATCAGCAAAAACTCATAATCACTTTTTTATTGTCGGCCATTTTGGATTTTTCCGTCCTAAGATCTTGTATGTAAAGTCTTGTCTACGCGTTTCCAGGTGAATCGTTTGGTACATCAATTTAAAATTTTCAGGGATGGTTCTTAGTATGAAAATCTAGATCTGATTAGATTTTTGCCATTCTTGGTAAATGTCAAGGCAGCCATTTTGGATTTTCCGTCCTAAAATCTTGTCTGTAAAGTCTTGTCTACGCGTTTTCAGGTGGACCGTTTGATAGATCAATTTCAAATTTTTAGGGATGATTCTTATTATGAAAATCTAGATCTGATTAGTTTTTTGGCATTCTGGGTAAATGTCAAGGCAGCCATTTTGGATTTTTGTCCTAAAATCTTGCCTGTAAAGTCTTGTCTATGTGTTTTCAGGTGAACCGTTTAGTAGATCAATTTCAAATTTTCAGGGATGATTCCTTGTATTAAAATCTAGAAGTGATTAGTTTTTTGGCATTCTGGATAAATGTCAGGGCAGCCATTTTGGATTTTCCATTCTAAAGTCTTGTCTGTAAAGTCTTGTCTCAAGTTTTCAGGTGAACCGTAGGTAGATCAATTTCAAATTTTCAGGGATGATTCTTAGTATGAAAATCTAGAACTGATTAGTTTTTTAGGCATTCTGAGCAAATGTCAAGGCAGCCATTTTGGATTTTTCCGTCCTAAAATCTTGTCTGTAAAGTCTTGTTTACGCGTTTTCTGGTTTACTGTTTGACGGATCAATTCCAAATTTTCAGGGATGGTTCTTAGTATGAAAATCTAGAGCTGACTAATTTTTTGGCATTCTGGGTACATTTTAAGGTGGCCATTTGCATTTTCCATCCCAAAATTGTAACGGTAAAGTCTTGTTTACTCATTTTCAGGATAACCATTTGACGGGATCACCCATTGGTGGGGACATATTGTACACATTTGTGTTCTTGTATAAAGATATGGTTCTGAAAATCCATACCGAATTGTATACTATATGGAAATACTAAATACACAAGTACATTCTGATGAAATATTTTGAGTGATAAACATAATTCGTAAAACATTAAAAAAGATTTTTCTAAAGAAGCCCATTTATTGCAAACAAACATATAAACAAGGAAACATTATGACATATTCACGTTTCACATCTTACGAATATTCCAAAGGGAAAGAAGAGGTACATCCCAAAACGCGTAGATATTTTATTACTATATGGACAATAATATAATGAAGGAAGCGCTTCTCATAAAAGGCAAGGTTTATGATAGTACACATGAAGTTTATAATCGTGAAAGATTAACATTAATCAAATGTCTACATTTAATCGACTTTCGCATCAATTGCTGCACTACGAGCTATGCTCATTTTCACATTTTTGTTTTGTACAATATTCATATAAATATTTCATAACATGATAACTATATAATTAATATCTCCTTTTATCGTCTCTGTGCATGCGCATGCGTGCTGTATACTGTCACAATCCCGACACCTAACGTTAATATCATTAATATATGTCAAATTTTATATGCAATCAAGCGATAATTTGATATTTTATATCAATAGAAATACACAATCTTACATGAGCAGACACAATCTTTCCCTTTGAGCTATGTTTGCCATCAAGATGGGATATTCCTACCAACCCTTGCTATGCTCCAACCAGCATTTTTAGACTATTGGACACATATACAAATATATATATATGAAGAACATTTGAGAAATTGAAGCCTACTCCACAAAATCTAGTATATATATAAAATAATTTGTATATAAAAGATAAAAAACAACATGTGACTTGAAATGAACCTCCAGGTCATCAGTGAAAGAAATATGATTTGAAACAAAATCTTGCTTAAATCAAGATAGCAGAGCTTATAAAACAAATTGATATCAAATACATCAATATGTTTTAAAATACCCATAGAATTTCAATCTGTAAGATATTGCCTAGTTCTAAAGTGTCATTTGTGTTGCTCATAGCATCAGGATTTCAGTGTTACAATGAAGGCAATATTTCACAGACCATACTTTTGCACAGCAACCATCAACATGTACATCTAGCTTTTCATTCTGCACAGTGTAATGTACAGATTGAATACATGAAAATTGCATCTAGAATGTCATAACACTACAATATGTGTACCAGTATTATAAATGCATCTAATGGCTGAACAGTGAACAATAAGAATGGATATGAATGGTCTAGCTCGTGCTCAATAAGAAAAACGTATAGGAGATGAATATGTGAAAACAGCTATCATTAAAATACTCATTAATATCCTGAGTCATTGATGATACTCTACAGTCTATTATTTATCTTATATAGTTCTTATACAACATCCAACCGCCCGTTAGTATTAACCTCTGCAGAGCATCGGGCAGTGTCGAGCTTTAATGTAAAATATGCACCTTTCTTTTCAAACTTTCTTATAGAATGCTTCTTGATTCTATTTCCACAAATTCATCCTCTGATACATTATAATGTCTTAATTGTCTGATACATTGTTTTATATAGCGATTGAAGCAATTCAAAGAATTGTTCTGTATCAATGAGCTGCTCTCTCTGCTCTGTCCGCTGGTTGTTTTGTCTTGACATGTAGACTTATGAAGTGTAGAGGGTCCTCTGTTGGTGGGTGGCTTTCTCCTAAAAGTAAAAATAACTTCATTAGAACTATCCATTATTTTGTGCATTAATCTGCCTTGTGTATTTTAGTACACACGAAATGGCATTGTTGTTGATAGTTTTTGGATATCAAATTTTTGGATTTTATTGTGTTTGTGTTTTTCTCGTTTTGGAAATAGAAAAGTGCCTAATAGTGTTACCTCTCCATTGACGTTGTGCAGAGTTGTTTTGATATTGGCGCCAACTCCAAATGTATTGTTATCTTGCATCTCGAAGTCATCACTACCAGCTGGTCGACTTCCACGGGCCCAGACCTAAAACACAAGTCAACATTAGTAGGAAAAATATTATTGAATGTCAGCATACATGTTAAATGGGTTATCAACACTGAACAATACATAGTTTTTAAATAGTGAAAAATCAACAAAATACGGTTTTGGCCAACTAAAGTCCACAGAACAAACTATTCACTAACAACACTCCAACGCAAATCTATAAACAGAACTAAACAGGACCAGACACGTTTTAACAGGTCCAAACAAGTCCAGGCAAAACCAAACCACACTTTATAAGTACATGTTTATTGAAAAAGGTTGAGTATGGAACATATGACTAAGTTAGACACATAAAGATGCCACCAAAAAGGAAGTAGGAGAAAATGATATTGATAGGGTATATGATTAGTACATGTTGTACAAGACCCGTAAGAGACAAGTTTAAGAAACGTGCTTTTTATAAATGTCAGCTAAACATATACACAATTCAGCAATAGAAAACAATTTGACTCACAAATATGTATACGTAAGTGTAAGAGCATGCAATGTAAAACATGAGTATGGTTAATCAATATCCGAGAGTATGTGCTCATGGTGCTCCTTGGCTTTAAACCTTGCTTCACGTTGACTCTATGAATTATTCACAACTAAAAACTATGTTGATGGTAAAATCTACCCAATGGTTGTCAAACATATGCTGGGTCGTTATGAAAACATCAAAATGCTGAAATCAAGACAAGCTAAGGAAGCAGACAGTTAACCATGGGGTGCTCTACCTCATCATCATTCTCATTCCGTTCTACCTCATCTTGACCTTCATATAGGCTAGGGTCAAATAACTGAGTTCCTGCGGGTGCACATCCCTTTGCCCAAATCTGTTGGCAGCGACAAAATAACACAACACGGGGTATCAATATGAATAAAACACAATAGAGAAGCAAATGAAGACACAATAGCCCAAAGAGATTGATACAGGGACCTTTTAGATATATGTTTGACATCATACCATTACTTTTTCGATTTTCGATTTGAATTTACACGTGTTGCCCAACCTAATAGCTTCAGTTGATCTGCTATCAAAACCATAAGCTTAAACATGGAGAGTGTCAACATTTTAAGCCCGGAAAAAACATTTGTACCTTAATTGCTTTCTGTCCTGGTCGAGATGATATGACTGCTCCCTTGGGGAAGGTGAATTTGATCTCCTTCTTGGTATCCTCAAGGTATCGTTTGATGAACCAACCATCAAGGGGCTCGTCCTGAAAACAAAGGATTAAATACATTAGATAATTTACAGCTCGGTATAAGTAGTCCTATAGCCTAATGATGCGAATGACAAGATGAATTTGGAGTCGATGAGCCGTATTTCACCTTGCCATGCAAATAATATCCCAAACTATCATAGCGTATTACTTATTCATCATTACGATAACATTTATAAACTAATGCATTGTACATACATGACTATTTCATCTGATATGCTTCCAGCTACCATCGAAGGTGAGCAGGAAGATAATCTTCAAGAGATTTAGAATTGACAAATTATACACATACATAAAGCTTACTAATCCTACTCGATAGCAGAGTTAAGGAATGAATATGATGGTATAAGCAGTAAAAGATGGATGGAGCATTGTGTCAGTACATGTACCAAATTTGAGCTGTCCATCCCGCCATTAAGAAACAAATATTCTAGATTCAATCCAATCAGGCACGTTTGTGGCACATTAGGAAGCTTTATTGTTTCTAATTTGACCACTTAACCCTCATATGCCACAAAGAGCTCATTTCACTAGATTATCAGGTTCTTAATTGTGCTAATTGCAAGTCAATTTTCCTAAACCATATGACCAAGTCCATGACATGGAAATACTATCGTCGAGGATTCGTCAAGCTAGGCTTTCGACGGCTATGTAAGTGTAGCTTCTTAGTGACAAATACCCAACAACAACATCCATAGTAGTTCAGGCCAATATGTTCCCAAATGGGACCACGAAGAAAAGTTAAATTTCATTTTAGAAGTTTACCACTCTATGTTATCAAGAGCATTTCCGCTCCCACATGAGAAAAGGTAAATGCCTAAATTGTGATTCATGAGATATGCAGTATTACACAAACAAACACACATAAGCACAATGACAAGACATTGGTTACTATGATACATTAGACCCACATTTTGAAACCACAACTTACATCGAAAATGAGTCTACTGCCCAACTGTAACACATAACAAATCCACATAGTGAACATGGCATTCTAAATTAAGATACTTTCCCATACCCTGTCTCATGTGGGAAAAGAGATATTACAACACTTCAAACTGCATAGCATTGAGGCAAACTGGCTTTGTAGAAAAAATAAGCACTAAAAATTGTTTTGGTGCAAAAAATCTGCAAACATCTGCCTACAGAAGCGTGCTTATATATATATACGCATAAACATGAGGTCATATATTCATTCAAGCGTCAAAACTGAGGTTCATTTTTTATAAATGTATGAATCCATCATTTTCACTTTGCAATGATGATCATGTAACAAGGTTATATATACCTTCTTTCCTGTGTTTTCTAGGGCAACGTATTTGCCATCTGGGCTGCACTCGGAGATGGAGACTGGTCCCTTTGCACTCCTCTGATATGTTGTCTTGGCAGACATCTCTCCCTTAACGACCTGGCTAACCTTCATATCTATAATAGCCATTCAGATACATGTAAGTTTACAGGTATTTTGATAGATTTTGTTATTAAAATATTTACATTGTTGTTTATATGTTATTGATATCACAATGGTCTTCTCAAAAATGTATAATACTTTTTCATTTCGTTAATTTTTTTATGATGCTTAGTGTCACACAAGCACACATATTGAACTTTTTTTAACGCCACGTGTTCAAACTTATAGCGTTTTTACAGAATACATTTTTATACGGTCTATACACGTAGCTATACCACATTTCACATGCATAACGTAAGTATACAGAAAAAGTGTTAAAAATACGCTGAGGTTTAAAGATAAGTGTTGGAGTGCAATAGTGTGCAAACAATATAAAACATGTATCTGCAAAATATATAAAACGAAAACTAATTCAGGTAAACAACTCTACACTACTACATAAATATACCATTGCTCATTTTGCTATAATTCGCCCCTAACGAATTCCGATTTTAATGTTATCAGCAATATTTGGAATTGTCAAACCCTTTCAGCAATTTAAAAAAACATACAAAGAAAGGCTACATCATTTATTTGTCTGAAGAATAGTTAGATAAGAATATTTATTGTGCAAATATTTGATTTCATTTGTTTAAATGTCGTTTGTTAGTTTGTTTACAAGCTTGGAAGCCAAAGCTTGGTTAGAATATCCGAGGCTAAACTCAAACAATGTCATGATCATCAAATTTTGCTAATCCCTGAAACTTGAGTGAAATGTGATTTCTATAAAATGTTGAGGGTGCAAAGTAATATGCCCAACTCCCGTATCCCCTTTATGTTTGTAATAATGACCATTGTGTTGTTTAGCGAGGGATACCACTACCCACCAACAGGCTTTTCATCTTTCTCAGTGGTAGTAATGGTTTTAGTAACAGTGGTGGTTTCAACCACTTTCTCTTTACTAGAAGAGGATGCTGATGAGAGTTGTTCGTTAATCATTTCCTGGCGACTTTGTTGTATGGAGCTATTTTGCTGGATCAATGACTCTACCACTTGTTTCAAGCCAAGCCTAAACGTGCAAACACAACACCATGCTAAGATTAGAAGTCTACCACCAACTGATTGTTAAATTAAATTAAACATCAATGCTACACGTGCTACATGCTAGCTACATTCTAATTACAAAAATACCTAAAGTAAAAAATGAATAAAAAGCAACTAAAATGTTATGACTCCTCTAGCGTGTCTATGGGTTGTGATAAGTCGACGTTCTTCAGCCGGAAGAGCGCGTTTTTTCTAAACTAATAGAAACGTGAAATTCGAGGGGTGATCAATAAGTAATTGAAGCTTTTTTACACAGATGCTTGTAAAAAGCGTCCATTACTTATTGATCACCACTCGTACAAGTTAAACTTTCAAGATTTTTAGGAGTGCAGTTGATCTAAAGAAGTTTGTGCAAAAATTCAAGTTTGTGTGGGGATTATGTGATAATAAGCACATATTCAAAATGTGGAAGTGTAGATCATGTTTATGTGCAAGGCAAAACAACAGACTGGGGACAGTGTGCCCAAAAGAATTTTATTTTGGAAGATTGTTTTTCATAAACAATGTGTGCAAGGAGATCTATAAAGTAGCTGTTTAAAAGGACAAAAGATTTCGGAAAAGATTTTGTGGACAAAAAAAGGTATTCCAGGATGCCTTGATGTATTCTAGTTTGTATAATATAGGGGAGTGAGATATATTTAGAATATACTGCTCGTGTAGGGGATTCCGGAGAGGGATGGAGAATTCATAGGGTATCTTATGTAGTCGCGTGTGGGGATACATTTACTGACCTTCTTTTTCAATAGATACTTCTTTAGAATCAAAGGACTTCTCATAAACAAATAAAGACCTTGTGTAAAACAAATAAAGGTATGAAAAGTGGGTAAAATGAAAAGAGATTAGTAAATGAAATTGTAACGTGGTTGGGGCAAACGTGCTTTAACCATGCAGCTCAAAGACTTCATGATATTATATATTATTCGTTAATTCTATAAAGTTCAAGAACTTTTTCGCATTAATGATTAGGGAATTATTCTAATCATAAGGAAGATATATTTCTATTCTATATGAGCCAAATGTCGATGTTAATACTGCGATACTTTGTATATGATATCATACAGTCTTTAGCCCACTGTAATATCCCAAATACAACACGTAGGTTAGTAAAATGCCCCGTTACCATCATCTCCAGCACTTTGAGATGTGTTAGTGACTGAACTGCTGCTTGATTCAATTTTCATCTCTCTCTTAAATGAATATGAATCATCAACTATGCCCTTCAAAACCCTGTGGAAAACAACAATGCAAAAAGTGCTAACTATATGTAGTTTAATTAAACAACAAAAGCAGAAACACAAGTTAATACGAATCTTTGCAAAAAGCAACAGAGTTCATCAACTCAACATGGTGGTGTCCTGATCTCTGAAAACGATAATCTAACTACATCTACTCCAAATAGCATAATGTGTAGTTGTTAGTCTACTACAATGGCGTTGTTATAGTCGTTTTCACAATGCAGCAATAAAAACACATTCGAAGCACAAAAGGCTATGACGTCAAGTTGGTTGGCGGCCATCTTGGTTCAAAGTACAAAACAAGATGCATGGTTCACAGCGCACACAGACGTCACGTGATCAGTTAGGTAAACACCACATACCATCATCATCATCGCCCTCTCCGTAACCAATTGACTGAGAATAGCCACTGGAGCTGGAATAGCCGCCGCCGCCGCCGCCTCCACCACCGCTAACCATGAAACTTTCAACTAGAGTCTTCAGTCCACCCCTGTGCATATGAAAGACAACCAATCATGCACTTGGTTTATAATTCATGTTATATTAGTAGTTGAGTATCTTTACCATTACCCTTGTTCCTTATAATCTGCAGGGCATGCAATGTCAGTATGTATGTAAAGTAGAAAAATGATGTTGTCATAGACGTGTTAGACGACCATTCCATGTGATTGTTGATGTATGGTCGCTCTTGGTTCAAGGGCATCACCTAATATTGAAATGAGAAGGGACGAAGTACAAAGAAGACAAGACACTACACTGAGCTATTCATTGATAGGTATATAGTGCACTCATTTCTGCAAGAGTCTTTGAGATTAAGCATGCATTTCAAGTATATCTACACCTTTCCAATGAATGCCAAAGGATATGCCATACAGCAACAACAATGTGATCCGATTGCGTTGATACAATTGCGAAACAAAGATGGTGTTGTGACTGTATGGCATGCCCATAACCAGATAGCTTTTTTATTAATACTGAATCAAAACCCGAATCAACCAATCACCATCACCGACACACACTATAGGGGGCCTTCCTGTTTTCACATACCAGTATCATAGTCAATTGAACTTTGTTCCTGCCCTGTAGTTATCCATTGCTCTACTACTTGTTTCAAACCGTGCCTAAATTCAAAGTATACATGGGAGAGAGCAACAAACATATAAAGCCAAACAACACAAACATTACTAAACTATATGACACATTCGAACATCATATAAATACTGTATATAATACAATTTTGTGATTAATAGACGAAAATATATTGGAATGTACACCAATCGTATTACAAATAGCTGAGATGTACGTATCATGTATATAAAACTCGTGGCTAGCAATATATCATAATTGAACATTATTCAATTTTATTTTAAATTTCGGTATTGAGCTTACCTGTTCTCTTCACCCTCCAAGAGTTTCCTGTATGCAGCAATCTCGAGTTCCAGTGAGAGTTTGATATCCATGATATCTTGGAGTTCCTTCAACATGCCTTCCATCTCAGCTCTAAGTTTTACAAGCTCTGATTTCAGCTCGTTGCCCTCAATCTCCCATTCTCTCTGCTTCTCTTCGTATTCACGTCTCAATAGTTCAAGCTCCTTCTCGAGTTGGGCATTCTAGTGAACCAAAGAATAATTTATGAACATACAAGCTAAAGATAAAAGGAGGATTCCTCAGAATTCATATATGGACGTATATCTATCTCAATATAAAGATGAACCTTTAAATTTGATTTATATTTGGATTTACTCTCGATTACGACATTCTTAATTTGAGGCATTGCCAGAAAGTGGGATTATATTAATGGGGTTTTATATTTCTGGATTTATGTTAGATATTTTAAAATATAATCTTCTTTGTATAAACATGTTTCTGATTCATATTTGGTATCTCAGATGAATAATCTACGTGTTTATAGTAATACGCTACAAATACATAAAATCAAAGTGACTATTTCAGACAATTGTTCACCGAAGAATGAAACAAAATGACTAAGTCTATAGACACAATCAGATGAAACAATATCACACAACACACGTTGATCTGTTCAAACAATGCTCATTTATAATATGTGCATAAACATGCATATAATTCGATATATCACAATATGAACCTGTGTTTAAATTTTCGATGTGTAAAGCATTGTCTTAACATTGTAACGTGTGTGAGCTTCTAGGAAAATGAAATAAATAATAACAAAAATAATAAGTCTACGTGCCAATAGATGGTGGTTCATGAAAACGTAATCAAATAACTTATGACATATACACAACCATAAAAATGTTACGTCAATCGAGTTACGAATGTCACATATCGTATATGTAATAAGTTATTCGTTCACAGTTATGGAAAACTGATGGCTAGATATCCACTAGAGATATATCAACTGTCTTCAATAGCACTCATGCATCCTCTACCATAAAAACTTCAAGCATTCTCTTTTTCCAGTCGAATGTAAAGCAACTACTTTGATGACATATGTTTTTGTTATATACATTCTTTAAAAAAGCGCCTTGTTGCCATTCCCTACCACATTCAAAGTTGTAAATGTTTACTAAGCAATATTCAGTAAGCAGTATCTAGCCTACCACACAGTCCAAATCGGAAATGCATCTAGGCAGATAACCATTTAATTATTCAAAGTTGCATTGGGACTGTGTAATAGACTTGATCTGTAGTGATTGTGTATAGCACACTGTGAAGTCATCGAGGTATATCAGCACCATAATGAAAAAAAATAAAATAAAACAAAAAACATAAATAAATAAATGGATAAAACGACACTCATGCTCATGCCCTGAATATACTTTTGCCATGCCATACTCAATAAGTGTTGACCCATCCATTTTGATAACATGCAAATAAAAACAAAATGCTGAAATAAATGTTTCTATGGAGGATCTAAGTAATAGGCGTATTCCAAGACGTTCCCTTATGAAGGTCCTTAAATGTGTTAGTCTGGCATCCCTATAGCCTAAAGTGTTAAGAAGACTTGTTAGGCCAAGTCTTGCCGTTGAGCAAGCTCCACATGGTTGACGTTATATCGGGGCTATAGATATCTAAACAAAATCGCAAATTGAAAAGTATAGTGAACTTCAACTCAAAGGAAAGTGTCACTTAGAATCAACAAGCCAATTTGTTACAGATATCAAAGCCTGGATCGCTGAATCAACCATTTTGTACTATTGTAAGATGTTCCGTTTCTATCCTAATCATCCACCATTCCGACCTGCCGGCATGCTCTCTTCGTGGTCACTACTTACTCGAACTTCAAAGTCAGCTAATTTTTGACGAAGATCGTTCAACTGAGTTCTTAGCCTCTTGCTTTCTTCCTTAGCATGTTCTGCTTCCATACCTGTACGGGCTGATCCAGTGCGGAATTCTTGCACCTACACAATACAACATATAACAAAACAAATGAAACAAACCTTAATTAAAACAAGGGTGGCGTACCACACGATCAGGTTGGATCAACTGACCAGAAACCATTGAAACAGAAATCTGTAAACCCCTGATGCCAGGCAATGAAGCTGGCAATATAGATATAACCTCTTAATCGGGGTGACCTCTACCTCTTTAGATTTTGTTCTGTTCAGTGTCACCAATTTGTCACGTGATACCCCATTGTCCTCCATCCATCATAGATGGATACTTACTCTAATTTCTAAATCGGCAACACGTGCTCTTAATTCTTGAGTAGTTGATCTTAATCGTTTACTTTCTTCCTTAGAATGTTGAGCTTCCATACCTTGCTTAGCAGATCCTGTTTTGAATTCCGATACCTACATTTACACAATACAACGTAAAACATGCAGTGGTAGAATATAATATGGTGTAATATGTAAGACAACTACACATCTACACGGACTAGAACACAAAACGGACACACACACACAAATGTTTAGGCTCCTTCTGGGCGTCAGGCTCCAGCCACACTTACTCTCGCCTCGGACTCGGCAAGTTGCGAACGTAAATTAGCCGATTGAGTTTTCAAGCGTTTGGACTCTTCTTTTGAGTATTGGGCCTCGATGCCTTGCTTCTTGGCACCAGTTGTGATTTCCCTTTGCTAGCATAAACACATTGCATACGTTCATTTTATAAGTACTTTCAAATGCTCTGTTGGAGGACAGTGAATGATGAGTATCGTATGGATTTGTAAATCGAATACTACTTGAGACACATACACACAAAAGTGGCATACATAATATGATTTAAGTGATATGGGCTTAAGTGGGGATTATTGTACATAGGGAAAGTATTATGCTTGAGTATTTAAAAAGCTATTTGTGTACCAAATTTAAGCATCTCACGTTTAGCACATTAAAATTGTGTTTGAGGAAGAAATTCCATACAAAATGAAATGATGTGAGTTGTGCCGATACATTTAAAGTATCAATTTTACTCCACGAGATGAATTAGTTCAACAATTCGAACTGTTTTAGAACTATGCTCTGATTTATTTGTGGCGGAATAAGAAATTCAGTTCAAATGAGTCACATATGAGAAATTGCATAAAATTTGTAGTTTATTACGAAAAAGCATGTAAATTATTTTAAAAATGGCCTAGGGTGGTTAAGACAAGCAACATATTTTTTTAAACTACTAAAATGGCATTTTGACCTCGGGGACAACGCACAGGGACCGCAAGGGTTGGAAGTCACAGTAATAAATTCAAAAGTTGCCACTTTAATTGCTAACTTAGATCATTATATTCGTATGGTGCATATTTGGGAGTTAAAACGAGTAGACTAGACCATAGGTGGTTGTTTCCTGCATCCCATCACGCTGAGGGATACTGCACTAGACAAATAAATTTCTTTTTTAACTTTTTGATATAGCTAATGAATTTCTTGAATGTTCGTCGTTACTCCATCGTATCTAAAAGGAAGGCCTGAAATGAAGTCATTAGACATAGAACACAAAGCATATTCATTTTATGTCACATTTGAATCAATTATATAAAGGTGTCGTATCATATTTCTTAAAATCACCACTATCATTATCATTAACCTTAATTTATCCAAACGTGGTTTTGTAAAATTACCTTTAATACATTATTTGTAGAAATTGAAATAACTGCTCAGTGCTCCACAATATTATATTTGCATTAATATACAAATGACAGATTACACTATGATATCGTGTCGTCACAATTGGACTCAGGCTTACTTTGAGATTGTAGAAGGTCTCCATTTCTCCTCTGATTGAGTTGACCTTCTCATCGTAAGCTTCTTGGATTTCACGGAGGCATTGAGCCATCTCGTTCTTCCAGAATTCACGGTTCTCCTGTGTTGGATCTCTGTAAGCGAGGCAAGCCAACTCCTTGCATTCCTAAAAATATACCAGAAATTGATTAGTATTTTGGTATGGTGGTATCACACATCGTGAAAGGATTAGGGAATAACAGTACGGCCACATTTACCAGGCTATTTGTAGCAAGCGGTGTACATGCATTTGTAGCATCGCTCCAATCATTCATACCATGGTGTCACGCTCATACCATTTACTCAACACTCAAAATCTTCAATCACTTATGGTGGGTTACATAGCTTCTTCTTTTTCAGAGGCTTTAGGAATGATGAGGAACTCTCATCAATTTTAAGAATTCTCAGAATTTCAATCACATATTTTAATACGAAGTAGGATTACAATGTGAATTTAGCAATAGTGCAATATATACTGTGTGAATTGTGGTGTATGCAAGGAACTGTTCTGCAGATAGATACAGTTTAAAGTTACATGTTTCTACTATAAACTCCCAGGTGTCTCATCAAATACCTGCATATTTAAGTTATCTTCTAAAAAAAGAACGATAAAAGATTTTCATGATGAATCATATTTAAGTTTGATTTTAGACAATGTGTACTTTATCTCAACCGAAAATAGACAAGCTTGACGCTAAATTAGAGATGTTATGATTTGTGAAGCGTCCCTTATCATTTTAAATGCAGCTGTATAGAGACAAAACATCTGTGACGCAATCAAATGCTCAGAAGATATCAATAAAAGCCGAACAGAAAATAATTTTTTGAAAGATGGCGTAAGTGGTGAAATTTGCTCAGAATAAAATCAGAATGTGTGTCTCGTAGTCAGAGAGAGACATTATAGACACATAATTCAAATTGAATTACATACCACTGTGGATTTATATTCTTGGCATTACGTTTGTCCATTTCCCCCAAAAGAAAGCATTTTCTAGAATTATGCAAAAGAACAATTTGATGAATTGAAATATTATTTTTGTTTGAAAAGGCCAACACTCATCAGACTCAAAACAATAAACCGTCAAAATGAAATATCTCCTTGTTCTTTCCTGCCAAGAAAGCAGTCTGTAAATATGCAGTTCATGGATAGCTACTGAGCCATAAACTACTGAGGACATTCACATTGCACATTTTTATTATGCAGGATATCGATTCTCTCCTTGTTCATATCTAATGAATGTGTCATTAACACAGAATGCTTCAGAGTGCACTGGATATGAAAGTGCGATACAATTTGCAGTTTCGCAAATTCAAGGTGACTTCTCCATTTCAAGTAAACATCTAGAATAAAATAAAAATGGAAATAGCAGTTGATTATCCTAATAGGATGATGGGGAAAGCATTCGTGTAAATATATCATATTCTGAATGAATTAACTCATATTGATTTTTTGTGTTTCATTTGTAATAGAATATATAGTTTGTTGCATATATTATGTTTGTTCATAAACATGTACTTGATCATGATTGGGATACAAAGTGAGATAAAGCTTAGTATTGATAAGTGGTGAAACAAGGAGAACAGTGTAAATACACTGTCGGTGAGATTTCCTTTTTCAAAGTAAGTAGCATTTGACAATTGCTCAAACAATCCAATCTTTATATTACAAAAGCACATGTGTTGGGAAAACATTTTTCTAAATAAATCGTCTGATCGTCCTTTTGAATCCAACATGCGTGAAATATGTGGTAAACAACTTCTTTTGAATATACGATGCGTTTTTTTATTTGCAAAATAATTCAGACGGTATTATGTGAAAGGCATTATTTTTGATGTGTTGGCCGAGAGAATCTTTTTGATTCACCCCAAGCTTTTTGTATTTACCCAAGCAGTTGACATTGCTATATGTCAATGACTCTGTCTGGCTTTAAATATCAAAATGTTTGTACAACACACTTAAGCAGGGTTCAGATTTGTATTGCATTTTATAACACTTGATACAATAAAACCAAGTTTCAATAATCTATCGATCTTGAAATCGATGTCACTGTATGAGACAACCTCTTAAGGTCGCCTCAGGCTTCACCCATAAACCTTGGTGGGCTTTGACCTAATAAGGTGAAGTCTTCGTTGGACATCATTTATAGTCCCTGATCTGGACCCTCTGAAAAGAAGTTTTGTTGTCCGGTACTTTCCCACATGAAATGATTATACCGTTTGAAAGAACAGACTTCCCTCTTAAAGAAAACACCTCTTCTATTGATGTAAACAGGGGCAAAAGGCACCAAAACGGGGTTAGACAAGGTGGCATTCTGATATCTCACTTTCTTGTCATCTCGATTCCAGGTAAACCATCAGACAGATTTACTTCAAATTTTCACACATGTTACATGGTAAGAAGTTCTAGAGCTGATTAACTTTGCGGCGGCCATCTTGCATTCCGGCGGCCATCTTGAAATTTTTTTAAGATAATATTGTCATCGCGATTCCACAAAAACCACTTAACAGATGTACTTCAAATGTTCACACATGTTACATGGTAAAAAATGTCCTAGACCTCATTATTTTTTCGGTGGCCATCTTGCATTCTGGCAGCCATCTTGGAAGTTTTAAGGTAAATCTTGTCATCACGATTTCAGGAAATCCAAACTGATTTACTTCAAATTGCCACACATGTTACATGGTAAGAAAATATAGAGGTGAATAACTTTTCGGCAGCCATCTTGCATTCTGGCGGCCATCTTGGAAATTTTGGGATAAATCTTGTCATCGTAATTCCAGGAAAACAACCTAACAGATTAATTTCAAATTTTCACACATGTTACATGGTATGAAGTTCTAGAGCTGAATAACTTTTCAGTAGCCATCTTGCATTCTGGCGGCCATTTTGGAAGGTTTATAGATAAATCTTGTAATCAAGATTCCAGAAAAACCACTTCACAGTTTTACTTCGAATTTTCACACATGTTACATGATATGAAGTTCTAGAGCTGACTATCTTTTCGGTGGCCATGTTGCATTCCGTCAGCCATCTTGGAAGTTTTTAGATAAATCTTGTCATCATGATTCCATGAAAACCACGTAACAGTTTTACTTCAAATTTTCACACATGTTACATGGTAAGAAGTTATAGAGCTGATTAACTTTCCGATAGCCATCTTGCATTCTGGCGGCCATCTTGGAAGTTTGTAGATAAATATAAAATACAGTCAAAGCATTTACCACCAACAAAGGATGCTCTCATTCTCCATATAAATAGAGCCAACTATCAGGCCTATATTTGTCGAAACGCAGGCAAATCAATGATTGATTATCAATCCCCCACATTACATGGTTGGACATTCAAAGGGAATAAACTACAAATTAAGTGGATAGAAAACAGTCCTGCCCCACAAGAAATAATGGAGCTTGTTGCTTGTAGTTGTAAAGGAGCGTGTGACTCAATGAGATGTAGTTGTAAGAAACAGGATCTCATTTGTGGAAGTTCATGTAAGTGCCGCAAAGGTGTGTGTGAGAACTGTCCAACCCATCAGCACGATGATGTTGCTGAGAGCGACAATGAATTTGAACCAGTTGATGACACCATTACACCAAACGTTGAAGATCAGGAAGAAAATGAATTACCTGAAAATCTCTTACCTGACATTTGGATGAACCAACTTGTCAAAGTTGATGCCATAATATGAATTATCTCAACCTGTATATACACTGGTGATCCGCTCGATTACAGGTACGATTTGTCAGAATCCTCTCGACGTTTTTTTCTCACAAACGTGAATCAGTATCATATCTTAGAAAATGAACATGTTTGCGAAAAATAGCTCAGAAGATGACAGAATTGTCGATTTAATTCCTAACTTAAGTTACATAAAGGTTTGGGTTAAAAGTGCAGATCTGAACTGTTTTTTCGAAATACCGTTTATGTAACTTAAGTAAGGAATTAAATGTACGATTATGTTGTCTTCTGAACTATTTGTTTGCAAATCTGCACATTTTCTTTAACATATGATACTGATACACGTTTGTGAGAAAAAATGTCGTGGGAATTCTGCCTACAAAGTATGAAAGGAAAAATCATACCTTCGATGTTCCCACATTTTGTTACCGAAACAAAGCGTTTAGGTAACCAGCATAATCGAGTGAATCACTATAATATACTCTTTTGTAGTCTTTAATAATGTTAGGGAGGATGAGTTGTAAGGCATACTATGTCATGTTAGATCATGATCTATACTATTTTTATTACAATTTACCAGTTACACTTTCTCCATGCTAGGTTCTGTTATAACTTTTGTTCCGTTTCCTATGGCATCCATGCTTTATACATTTACATTCACAATGGTCCCTTCCTGGTATATTTTTTTAGGTTTTATGACTGTTAAATTCTATAGTCTTGTTAAGACCACTTTATAAACAGGTTTATTATTACTTTTATGACTGTTAAATTATATAGTCTAGTTAACACCACTTTATAAACAGGTTTATTATTACTGGTGTAACTAACACAACGAAAAAAAATATAATTAATTTATTTGATTTTATATAACATGAAATTATTTTTTCTTTTCGATAAAACATTGCTTATTATAAATATATTTAGTTGAAAACTTAGAGCAAACAATCAGTTCTTCTATCACAAAGTTTATTTTGGTTCAGTAGATTTTTCTATACATTATTTTTATGTCACCACCATATGTTGATATTGTAGCATTGTTTTTAAGTTCTTTTTGTTGGTACAATTTAGTTTCCAAACCCTATACTTATATCGATCTGACACACAGTTTTAGTGCAAGTTTAAGTGATTTTTGTTGATTATTAAACGCAAAGAGCACATGTGTCTCGAACTCGCAACATTGTGGATACAGAGCCAATTCACATAGTTTGACATGCTGGTGCTCTGAACCAGCTCGTTAGTTAATATCTGACTAAGAGACAGCTTGATTTCCCGATGAAGAAACGTTATCTGCAGCTTTTATGAGTACTATAGTATCTACAACTATTTTTTAATCTTATGAGTATTGGATATCATTATTTTCAATTTTTCTTCAACATGTATTTTAATGACTTCAGTATGAATGGAATGTCCCTCGGAGTTGTGGTCGTTGATGAGGAATTGGTCGTTGAACG